GCTAGACTCCTTTGTAAACACTTTAAGCAGGGGGTACTTAGCCTGGACTCTATGTGCTTCTCACCCACCTCTTCTAAGGGGGATTCTGGCCAAGTCCTGGAACCCACTGCAGTCCATCTGGTGGTTGACAGGTATGTGGATGGATTGGCAGGCTGGGACCCAATCTATGTTTGCCCTTGTGTTCAGTTTTGAGACCTAGTGCCTTTCCTGATCCTGCTTACAGACCCCCAGTGGCCAGTAGGAAAGAAGTGTTAATGCATATTTGCTTTTGGAGGGCCCAAAGCCAGGCCCAGAGAGTTGTCAAGGGCTGTCATTGGGTGGATGGCAGAGTTAACCAAGGAGTTACATACCTGACTAGGCTAAGGACAGGCTGGACCAAGTGGAGAGGGTGGGGCTAAGGGAGCCTGAGAGATGCTCTGGGGCCTATCTCAAAATGGGCACTACAGTCACCCTGTCCCCTGCAGAGATTGACCTGGTTTTAGGTCGCACCCAACCTTGCCAGCCCAGGAGTCCTTAGCAGCCTGATATTGGGAGACCTGTCCTGGGGTCTGCAACTCCAGAACTCACTACAGAAGCCCATGTGGATTGCTAGTCTAGCTCAGCCATATGGGTCCCCAACCCTCACCTCATGATAGTCCTGTTGAGAAACCACTGCTGACCCTTTGTTTGTGTTTTCATCTTTTCTACTATAAAAGACATGCTAGCTGGGAAATAGAGCCCATCATACTCAAGAGTGGCAGGAGCCAGGACCTGGCCCCTGAAACTTGGCCTCACACACAGAGGCTGCACCCTGTCATCAATTCCCTCAACTTTGTCTCTCCCTCCACTCCCAGTCCTAGATTTAGCAGCCATGTGTGAGTGGGGGCCACTGCAGGGATACTCACCCACCTACCAGAGAGATGGCCTGTGGGTGCTGGCCTGTGGAGGTTGGAGGCTGTGGCAGCCTGGGCACTCAGGCTGTGGTGCTCCCATGTTCTTGACTCCTGCTAGTCTGGGCTGCCTCCTGATTAAGGGTTGGATGCTCCAATTCTTCCCTGGGTTGGGGATTGCCACCCTACTCCCAGCCCATCCAGGTCCGTGCTTATTCCGAAGCGGAGAGCCAGCAGCGTGCCTGCTGTGGGGGTTCTCCGTGTCCAGCCTGAGTCTTGCCTGCCAACCCCTCTGAGAGGTGTCCGGAGGCATGGAGAAGCAGGCTTGTTTTTCCCTGTCACTGGCCCGGAAGAGATGCTTTGTTCTAGGGAGCCACATGTCCCCTTTCCTGCGTTGTTGGTGAGGAGCCAGCAGGCTCCGTGGAGGGCAGGCCAGCAGCCTGGCGCCAGGGAGGCAAGGGTCTGAGTTCTTAGGAGGGTGGCTGCTCATGTGAGAAGTCTGCAAAGGTTACTACTGAGCACCATCTCTCTGTCTGAAAAACATTTTTCGTTTTTCTGTGAACCACCAAGTATCCTGTTTGGGCTTTCTTCCTGGTTAGGCAGGCGCAGCCTGATCCGAGTGTCTGACTGCTTCCCCATGTCTTCAGACCTCTTTTTCTGTTCATGGTAACTGTAGATGGAACCACGCATTGGATGCTGGAAACTCAAGAGGTACAGCCTGTTCCTTACCCCAATCCCTGTTTTACAAATCGGGAAATCAAGGCATAGCATGGGGTGATGCTTATCTGAAGTTGGAAGAGTTAATAGTAGAGTGGGAGCTAAAACCCAGTTTCTTACCTCCAAGCTCAGAGCTTTCAGCTGTAATTGAGCCTAGTATAGTTGGTGTGCAGCATCAGGGATTCCAGCTCGAAAGGTCACAAGAAGGACCCGGGGGTCGTTGGCCCAGGGTGGGAACCTGAGCAGAACAGGTCCAGATGGCACACTCTGTGCCCTGGCCTTAGTTTCTTGCTGGATGCTTTTCCTGTAGAACCCCAGAGCCCTGCTTCCAGAACCACTCCAGTGACATTCATGCCAATGGCCTGAACCCCAGTGAGTGAGGGTGCCCTGCCTCTTCCACAGCCCTGGGCTCTGCTCAGATTTTTAGGAGCAAGTGTAAGAGGCCTTGCCTTCTTCAGGGTCAGCATGTTGATAGAACACTTACTCTCTGCCTATCTGTCCTCAAAATGGAAGCAAGACATTGGGGCCCACAATGCTATGAAAAACAGGATGGGGAGGAAGCCTGCTCTCTGCCTTCCCGCCCAGGTGAGCCATCACCTGACTAAATGAGTTCACACTCAGAGCGTGCAGGGATGCAGGATGTTCTGACTTCATTTTCCAGGATGCCTTTGCTTTAAAAACCTTTTAAAAAGAAGGGAATGATACACCCCTTTGTTCATCTTGCAGTGGAACCTGGTGTGTGAGGACGACTGGAAGGCCCCACTCACGATCTCCTTGTTCTTCGTGGGTGTGCTGTTGGGCTCCTTCGTTTCAGGGCAGCTGTCAGACAGGTAAGGTGTCTGTCTCCTACAGCAGCAGGGGACCTCAGCACTGAGCGAGAAGTGTGTGCCTGGCCCTTGATTTCAGTTGGTAGTATTCCTTCAGCCCAGGGCCCTGTATTTTAAAGAAGAGGAAGCTATGTCTATGGTATAGACTCCATGCCTAGTAAAAAGAGCCAACAAATCTGACTCCATAATTCTTGCTAAGTAAAGAAATCTGAGCTATGTAAGCCAAGTGTGTCTGATCCGGTTGACTAGGTAATATGCCATGATTCACTTCTGCAGTAACCTGGCTTGCTTCCCCTGGGTCACCGTGACTCTGTCATGCCCCTGAGCATGGGAGAAGTTGACTTCATGCACACATGCACATGTGCTGGATTGTAGATCTGTAGTGGTGCCACAGTGTCTGCCTCTGTTGTCCTAAGAAGACCAGCATTCTGTCTGCAGAGTGAGAGGAGCTCTCACCAGCCACTGGTGGTATGACAAGCAGAACTCTTATGTCCACAAGGCTGATGCCCCTTAGCTAAGTGGCCTGTGATTTTGGCATTTACTTTCTGACAGGAGGGAGAATACTGTTTTGATCCATTTCTCATAAGCAGGTTATTTGTGTAATTCTAAAGCTTTTAACTCAAGGAAACATTAATGGCTTAGAGAATCCCAAACCCCTCGAAATTATATGCACAATGTTAGAGACTACATGTGAGCATTTTTTTGGAGAGAGGTCCGTAGCTTTCATGAAGTTCTCACAGGGGTCCATTATGTTGTGTCTTCTTTCCCTGGAGCTTCAGGGTCTGTCACAGAAGACTGTGAAGAGAGTAGCAGCCTTCAGCAAATCCTTGGCCACATGGCACATGTGAGAACACCCCGCAGATTGGTGGGTTACCCGGTGGAAAGGAGTCCCAGCATCTTCCCTGGTTTTTAATTCCTGGCCTCAAGCAGTCCTCCCTCCATAACCTCCCAAAGTGCTAGGATTACAGGTGTGAGACACCATGCCCGGCCAGATATTTTGTTGTTGTTGTTGTTGTTGTTGTTGTTGTTGTTGTTGTTGGAAATAGAGTTTCCTCTTGTTGCCCAGGCTGGAGTGCAATGGTACGATCTCGGCTCACCGCAACCTCTGCCTCCTGAGTTCA